GTGTAATTGTAATGTCAGAACAAAGTAGATACTTGCATAAATATGTTGTTGTTATGTGCCATCGAGTCGGTTCCGACCCATAGCGACCCTGCATAGGGTTTCCGAGGGTGTAAATCTTTACGGGAGTAGAAAGCCTCATCTTTCTCCCGCGGAGCAGCTGGTAGTTTCGAACCGCTGACCTTAAGGTTCGCAGCCCGATTCGTAACCACTACGCTACCAGAGCTATACGGGGAATAAATTTATCAGTTCCTCTGTTGTTAATGTTCTATTTTCCATTCTCAGGATAATTGTTTACACAATAAAATATGTTATGGAAAGCTTTTTACTATAGTATCTATATCTGTTCTGTAGTACAGAGAGGTGGCTGGGGTTTCAGTTAGTACTGCATTGTCGGGGAGGGATTCTACAGAGATTTTAGAAGGAAGTGAACTTAACCAGACCTTGGTATTAAACTGAATGTTAAGGTGAATAACAGAGAAACATGAACAGGATGACTTCCAGATCTTGGTGATATTCATTGGGATATGTTTAGAGGAAAAGGAGCTTTGTTCCTAGGGATGTATCTAAAGTTATTATTTGCCTCTCCTGACACTTCTTTTCTCTCTGAAAATACAAGCCCAGTACAAATGTAGTTTATTTTCAACTCATTTTCCTTTTGAGAATATTCTTTGGGTTTTCTGGCCTTTTCCCTGATTTGCTGGATTCTTTTGTTAGTAACAGCCTTATCTATCTCTCAGGGGAAGGGGAAGGGAAGATTGTTGTTGTTAAGTGCCTTTGAGTCCGTTCTGACTCATAGTGACCCTGTATGAGGAGCAGCTGGTGAGCTTGAACCAAGACCCTTGTGGTTCAAACCGACCTTGCAGTCCAGCGCATTAACCCACAGTACCAAACCAGGACTCCTAAGGGAAGATGGACAAATCCAAAACCTTTTACAGCAGTCATTGGGAAAGGAAAAACTCAGAGTTCATCATTTTTTGTTCTGTCTCAGGAAGTTTGTCTACCATGGGAGAAGTTCAGTAAGGCATGTTGAAAGGTTGGAAGGCAGGGGATCCATTAGCAGTATGGAGATGACAGTCAGCAGTAGGACAGAGTACATAGTCCAATATTTCACTACATCTAGTGGTCACTCACCTTAAATAATAATATAATGTGCATACAGATGCATGTGTATATGTGCATTTTTGTAAATCATTCTAGAAAATGATGAAAAGAACAAAGTCATCTGCAATATAACACCGCAGAAATAATCTCTGTCAACATTTGGGATGGACAAGAATTGATCAATATGAGGTGAAGGTAATAGAAGAAAGATGATGGATAATTAAAGCCTAAGTAGCAAAACTGTTAAAAAAGAATTACTTTGCCGCCGCCCTCCCCCCCCCCACACACAGAGTGGACAGAGAAGGGCAGCTTGGACATTGGATACTCAAATGGGGGGGGGGGACTACAAAGGCAAGAAGTGACTGGCTTACAAGCTTTCAAGAGGGAACCTTGTTCTAGGGAGCATGGCAGAAGGCAGATTCTCCAGAAGGTACTATTCAATCTGTCTGGGTGGAGCTGATGAAAGGAGATACAGATGGGTAACTCGTGATACTGTAGTGAATAATGCTTATCAGGACGGATTATGAGGGTTGGAAATGCAAAGGTGGAAGTTTTGTAACAAGGAAGGGAGTGATTGATTCTCCAGGATAGGAGCGGAGGCCTCTGGGACCATCAACGGAGAAGAGCTGAGAGCGGGACCCTACCCAGAGAAACAGAGATGCCTGAGATAGAGACAGAGATGATGACGTGGAGTGATGAAATGACTAGGGACTTTGGACCCAGAAAGGGAAAGGGACTGTGGGCCGAAAACTGGGGGGAGGGGGGAAGTGTAGGGAGCAGGTTTCTGGGATATACCCTTTGGGTGGTTGAGGATGCATGGAGGGGATTGGAACCATGACAGGGAGATGATATACGATGGAATGAATGTAAAACTAAAGTTCTCCCATGTAAACTATCATATAATTCACAATAAAACATTTAAAAAAAAGAGAGAGAGAATTACTTTGTATCAATGTATTGGTAGGTGGAGTACTCAGATCTCTTAGGGGTTTTGTTTTGGTGCAGCAAGAATATACCACATTTTTAAGAGAGAAAAAGCCTTTGATATAGGAGCTGTGTTACTCCTTTTAGCCTCTGGGGGGTTTTCTCCGTGCTTGGTATAAAAAATATCCTGATAGACGTCCATTAAGTATTTCTTGAATGAATTAGTTACATTTTAAGACTTTATATGCATACATTGTTTTTGTTGTTATGTGCCATTGAGTTGATAACAACTAACAGCACCCCTATGCACAACAGAATGAAACATTGCCCGATCCTACGCCAACCTCAGTTGCTATGCCTGAGCCAATTGTTACTGCCACTCTGCTGATCCATCTCATTGGGGGTCTTCCTGTTTTTCTCCGACCTTCCATTTTACCAGACATGATATCCTTCTGGTCCCTCCTAATAATATGTCCAAAATATGAGAGATGAAGTCTGCCATTCTGGCTTCTAAGGAGCATTCTGGCTGTACTTCTTCCAACAAATTGGTTTGTGTTTTTGGCAGTCAATGGTACTTGTAATATTCTCCTCCAACACCATAACTCAAATACATCAACTCTTCTGTGGTCTTCCTTATTTACTGTCCAACTTGACATGCACGTGAGATTATTGAAAATACCATGGCTTGGGTCAGGCACATCATAGTCCACAAACTGACATAAATATTATGCTCCAATTTTAATAGCAGAGGTTTTTTTCACTTGAAAAGTTTTTCTATATTTTATTCAAAAAACTCTTAAAGTATTTCTTTTTGAGATAGGAAATGTCTATTTCTTTTCCATATGTATTACTATTTCTAACAGTAAGTACGTGTATGTTAACAAAATTATATTGTATTAAATTAGCTTGTTCTGACTTTCAATACCGTATCTGTTAAACATTGTTGTTGTTGTTGTTAAGTGTTAAACATTAGACCTAGTAATTATAGATCAGACTTTGAAATATATTCTTTCCCTAATTTATCAAGAAATTAAACATATGCAGTTAGTTTCTTTTATTTAACATAAACTACCAATGCTTAGAGGCCAAGATGGCCAAACTTCGTCTCTCATGCTTCGAACAGACATATTGTCAGAAGGGACCAGTCACTGGAGAAGGATATCATTCATGTGTGGTAAGATGGAGGGTCAGAGAAAAAGAGGACGACTCCCAACGAGATGGATTGGCCAAGTGGCAGCATCGATGGACTCAAGCGTGGCAACAGTAGTGAGGTTGGCCCAGGATCGGGCAGTGTTTCATTCTGCTGTGCATAAGGTCGCTATGGGTTAGTACCGACTCGATGGCACTTAACAACAACAACCAATACTTATAATTTTAATTTATAGGAGTCCTAGTATGGCGCTGTAGGATAAGCACTGAACTACTAACAACAACATTGATAGTTCAGACCCACCAGCTGCTTTTGGAAACCCTTTATAAGGTCGCTATGAGTCAGAAGTGACTCGATGGCACTTGATAACAACAACAAATAATAATAAAAATAATTAGAATTTTCTCAAGACTCTTGTTCTTAATATCAACTTTGCTATATCCCTGAAAAATATCTACATTCTATAATAAAATTACCCTGTACTGAAGGACATTATAACTGATGATAACTTAGCTTTAATATTAAGTGCTATACTGTGAGCAAGGTATCATTATTATTATATCGATAAAGAAATGAAGCAACAAATAAATCAAGTAATTTTTCAAAATCCATTTCTAATGCAGAGTCAGGATTTGAATACAAGTTGATCTCACTACAGAGCCTAGTTTTTCAGTGTGCCTCATCTTCTCTCATCCTAAATAGTAATATAATGAACACACATGCAAGGGAACGTCAAAAAGTTCATGAAAATTCATTCTCTTTAATTACCCTGAAGGGTTCATATCTGAAGTTAGTTTCTGTTTACATATATTTGAGAAAAATGCATTCTGTTATTGGCACACTCTCAGAAAATAGGAAGAAAAACATATGTAGGATGGGAGTTACTATATAATATCTGAATGTTGATTCAGTTGGTACTGGTCAGCAGTTCAAACCCACCAGTCACTCCTTGGAAACCCTTTATAGGATCACTGTGACTCAGAACCTGACTTGATGGCAGTTAACAACAACAACAACAACAAAATCCAGTAGTACTGAATCAAACACTTATGTGGTAATTAATAGACGCTGTATAACATGATCATCAGCAGTCACATAAAACCATAAAATAAAATGAAAAATTAGAACAAGTAACAACATAGGACTACCATTCTTTTGCAATTGTTGTTGTTTTCAAAATAAAAATACTTGAAATAAACATCATCATCATCATAAATGATGATAGACAATTGAATTTTACCAATATTTCATAAAGTCTGAACATTTTGAATCTCAAAAAATAAGAGTGAAGGGGAAAACTCAGAATATAGAAAAGTCATCTATGTTGAATAAATTAATTTTCATCATTATATTTTCTTTATTTTATCTTGTGCTAGTAAGAACTTTATTATAAGCAGTACTAGTTTCTCTGACCCTCTGTCTTACCAAGCATGATATCCTTCTCCAGTGACTGTTCCCTCCTGACAATATGTCCAAAGTATGAGAGACAAAGTTTAGCCATCTTGGCCTCCAAGGAGCACTCTGGCTGCACTTCTTCCAAAACAGATCTTCAGTATAGGGTAATTTTATTATAGAATGTAGATATTTTTCAGGGATATAGCAAAGTTGATATTAAGAATAAAAGTGTCTTGAGAAAATTCTAATTGTGTTTATGATTATTATTATTTGTTGTTATCAAGTGCCATTGAGTCACTTCTGACTCATAGCTGACCTTGAAGTCCAGTGTTTCATCCTACGGCTCCAGGCATACCTATATTATCTTTTTAAAAATATATTAACTTTTCAGTGTTATTACTTATTGAGTATCTTTTTTGTTCTTTCCCAGTATCTAGTTATGGATTATTATGTTGGTGGGGATTTGCTTACTCTGCTCAGCAAATTTGAAGATAGATTGCCTGAAGAGATGGCTCGATTTTACTTGGCTGAGATGGTGATAGCAATTGATTCAGTTCATCAGCTACACTATGTACACAGGTAAGTAAGACGACCCTTCTTTGTACTTGAATGTCACTTATCAGATAATTTCTATAAGCAGAAATCCATTGTTAGCAAATTTATTTATGGTCTTAAGTGCATTTGTCTTGTCCATGAAAATAATTCATTTTGATACGGTTTTAGTCATTGTGCTTTGTTGTCGTGACTGTCGTTTTTCAGCATTAAGCAACTGATATGCTTGCATATATACACAGACGTGTATGTCATCTAATTTTCCACTTCCAGTCAGCATTTCTACAGAATACTGCTAAGAAAATGCACTTATTCACAGATACGTATTTTCCTTCATGGAAGAAGTATGCACTGGCCAATTTTCTTGTGCTTTAGTTTCATGTATTAATATTAGTCAAAGTACTATGCCATACATCATAGGCTCATTTGCCAAGTACTCTGTATTTCTCAAGAAAATAATTACAAGGATAGTGGTAATGATAATACAACTATAATTTTATTGGTCATAGAATAATGTCTTAGTTGTAAATTGTTTGATAAGTATAATTTATTTTTAATGTTTCCCGCAAGAGTGGGCTGTTTTGTATATGATTTAGGATGCAATGAATGAAAAGGTGGCCCTATTTATAAAATGGTTTTTTATGTAATATTGTTCTTGTGCCTATTGACATAAGTTGAAAATATTTTGCTGTGTTAACAGTTTATAGTAATTTGTGTATAATAAAAACATTTAAAATGCTTTGGGGTGGTTTAAAAGCAGCCTCACATTTTAAAAGCAATAAAATAAGCATAAAGTTATTGGTGAATTGATCATTCAAATAAGGAAATATTTTGGTAAGAGAAAATATGAGAAAGATATGTTAAGAAGAAATTTATTAAGGGATATTGCCCTGGTATAAAGAAATTGAATCATTTTCTGGCTGTTTTTAAAACCTTAACATGCATCAGAATTGCATGGAAGGCTTGTCAAAATAAAATTTCTTTGTAGTATTTCATGGTGTGTGTGCTATGCAACATTAAAGAGTAACGATGAATCAGCGAAACACCTCATAACTTAGATGCATCTGGAGGACATTATGCTGAGTGAACTAAGTCATCCACAAAAGGACAGATATTGTATGAATGTACTATTATAAAAGTCAATGAAAGATTTTCATGCACACACAAAAATATTTTAAATTATTTCCCAGAGAAGGGAGAGGAGGTAAAGCACTAACTAGACTAGGCTAGACACGTATTAGCTTGTGTGAAGTGGAAGGCCATACATAATGAGAGATATTCACAGGAAGGCAAAGGAAGACATTAGGAGGTGTACAAGAATTAAAGACACAACCCTGCACAAACAATATTCTACATATGGATGCATAGAGAGACAAACAGTTGAACAGGTATTGGAAGAACAGTACTATACACACAGATATATATAGGTTTTGTTGTTGTTTTTGTTAAGTGCTGTCAAAGCAATTCTGACCCATAGCAACTCTGTAAAGGGTTTCTGAGGAGCAGCTGGTGAGCTTGAACCACTGATGTTGCAGTTCAAACAAACCTTGCAGTCCAGCACCTTAACCCACAGCGCCACACCAGGATTCCATATTATAGGTTTGGCAGAGATTGTTTCTACATACATATTTATTTATGTTGCAAATATATCCATGACTACAGTAACACATACAAGGGAGCAAAGTTATAAACATAACCAGACACCTTGAAGGAATGAGTCATAGGACCTGGTGCTCAATCTAAGGAGACACCAAGATCAATTGGCATAACATAGTTCACAAAGACAGTGTTCTACAACCTACTTTGATGAATAGTGACTTGGGTCTTAAAAGCTTGCACATGCTCATCTATGGTGTAACTATAAATCTCTCCCCCTCTGGAGCAAATAAAAGTGAAGAAAATAGAAGATGCATAGAAACAATTAGTCCAGTGAATTAATGAGCCATGTGAACCTCAGCCTCCATCACCCTGAGACCAGAAGAACCAGATAGTGCTCAGATACCACTGCCAGCTGTTCTGAAAAGGCTCACAATACAAGTTCTTGGATTGTTGTTGTTAGGTGCCATCGAGTCAGTACCAACTCATAGTGACCCTATGCATAACCGAATGAAACACTGTCTGGTCCTGGACTAACCTTACCATTGTTGCCACGCTTGAGCCTATTAATGCTGCCACTTTGCCAGTCCATCTCACCGGGGGTCTTCCTCTTCTTCTCTGACTCTTCATCTTACCAAATGTGATATCCTGCCCCAGTAACTGGTGTCTCCTGACATATGTCCTAAGTATGAGAGATGAATTTTGGCCATCCTGGCTTCCAAGGAGCACTCTGGCTGTACTTCTTCCAACACAAGTCTGTTGGTTCTTTTGGCATCCCATGGTACTTCCAGTATTCTCTTCCAGCACCATAACTCAAATGCTTCAATTCTTCTACAATCTTCCTTATTCACTGTCCAACTTTCACATGCATATGAGGGTAGTGAAAACACCAAGGTCCTGGATAGAATGGAAGAAAAAGGTGAAACAAAGCTCAAAATATTTTTTTTTTTCTTTTAATAGACCCAGCTTACTGGTAGATAGAGAATGGTGGAACCCCTGAGACTACGCCCTTAGTCACCTTTCTGACCTGGAACTGAACTCATCCTTGTGGCTCAATTTTCAGTCAAACAATAGCCATGTCTATAAAGGGGAATATAATATTAGGGATGTACACACTCCTTAGAATAATCAACCATTTGAGATCAAAAGGGCATCATTTTCCCAAAGATATAGTTCAGAAGGCTGGAAGGGTTAGGAAAGGAGGAATGGAAATGACAAACAGGTAGGTATTGGGCTATGTGATATTGCATTGTGGAGATTGGAATCAATGAGCTGAACCAAAATGTGTATGAATTGTTGAATGAAAAACTGATTTGCTCTGTAAACCTTCAGCAATAAAAAATCAGACTGTTTTGTCTAAATTCTCAGTAGAATTGGATAGTGCTGGAAAATTGGTATTTCTAACAAGTTCCCAGGCTGCTAACCACAAGATTGATGGTTTAAACCTACCCAACTGATCCGTGGGAGAAAGACTGGGCTTTCTGTTCTGGTAAAGATTTACAGTCTTGGAAATTCTAGGGAGCATTTCTAGTCTGTCCTGTAAGGTTGCTATGAGTCAGAATTGACTTGATGACAGTGGGTTTTGTGGTTTTAACAAGTTCCCAGGTGATGTTGGTATTGTTGTTATTGCTTCTAGCCTCCAGTGACTGTACTTTGAAAACCACTAAGAAACATTGACTGTTTCTTTTAAGTTGTTCTTTTAAGTTGGTCACTGAGAACATAAAATTGGGAAGAAGAGAAAATTTTTGTTTCCCTGTTTTTTTAAGATGTGAATATCTTATGCTGATTGATTGAATTTATAATGAAGTTCTGCAGCTTTATTAAAGAAACTTTTAATTAAAATTCTGTATTGCATTTGATCTCAGGTTGGTTCTTTTCTATTCATGTGCTTTTCTCTGTTGATGTGTGATGGTCATAAATTTTAATAAAAATAAAGACATGAACATTCTTTGAAAAATTTAAAGCACAGTGCAGTTTTTAAGATGGTCTTATGGTTTCAAACATTAATTATAGGATGAAAATCCAAAGTGCTTTTTTATTGCTCAAATGGTAACTCAGTGTTCTAGCTGAGTCCTGTCATTTAGAAAAACTTTAAAAATGCCACTTCATTAAGCATTTAACGAATGTTAGTGTGATACATAATTCTTATAGACATAGTCTTTGTAACTCCCACTAATAACTGAATTAAAAAATCCACAAAAACAAAAATACAAACCTACTGCCACCAAGTCCATTCCAACTTATTGCAACCTTATATAGGGTTTCCAAGACTACAAATATTTACGGGAGCAGGCACCCTCATCTTTCCCTCTGACCTTGTGGTTAGCAGCCCAATGCCTAACCCTCAGTGCCACAAGGGATCCTTACAGACCGGGTTTGTTGTTAAGTGCCATTGAGTCGGTTACGACCCATAGCGACCGTGCATAGGGTTTCCAAGGAGCAGCTGGTGAGCTTGAACCACCAACCTTGCAGTTCAAACCACTTTGCAGTCTGGCGCATTAACCCACAGCACCACACCAGGACTCCACTGACTGGGTAGGACTATGCAAATGTGAAGGATTGAAAAGCTTGTTAATAATGTAATAAAGTACATAGCACTATTGTTGGGGTGGGGCCATGCAAATAAAGTGTATAAAACCCTAACATGGGATTGGTTAATTTTGCCATTCAGTTAGACTTAAAATAAGTCATGTCAGAGGTGGAAAGGCATAATCTCACAACTGCCGAGAAAGAAGAGCTAGAAAATGTGTCTTTTGGACTTCAGATCCGTGGGCAGAGAATCTTCTCAATCCAGGAGTCAGAGCTGTGACCCTGGAGATCGTAAGAGACGGTTAGAAGCAGTGACAGAGAAAGGGCGACAACAGAAGCAGAAGAACTAAGACGCTGGCAAGAGGAAAAGGTAGACTCTCAGACCCACAGAGTGAGATAGCTGAGTGCTTTGGGCTGGAGGCTTGTTGATGGTGTTGGATACCTCCAGGCATTTGGTCGAGCTAGAGTTGCCAAACTGCGGAGCTAGAGTTGAACACCTTTGGGCCGAGGCTACTAGTGGAGTAGAGTGCCTCAGGACATTTATTGGTAGAGCTAGAAAAACTTTGTAACACTTACCCAAGCAGGGCAGAAGGCTGCAGGGCCTTAGGGCCAAGGGGCTGAAGCCATAGAGAGGTGTACCAATAAACACCTTTGAGGAGAGACTGTAATCAGAGAAAGGTATCCTGAATCATTTTTGACCCTGAATTGTAAAAAAAAAATCCCATAATCATGACTGTTGTCTCTGAGTTTTGTTTGGCCATTGCAATGACTTATGAAAATTTAGCAGATGAGTAATGTGGAAGGGAAGGTTGGTGTCAGAATTGACAAAAAGGTCAAACGTCTGAGACATACCTGCCCTCTGCCTCATAGGACTCATCCTTAGGGTATTGATCTTGTCTTCC